TAAATCTTTATGGGAGCAGAAAGCCTCCTATTTTTCCCAAGGAGCAACAGGTAGATTTGAAGCGCTGACCTTGCAGTTAGAAGCTCAACTCATAGCCCCGCTACATTACCAGAGCTCCTAAAAGTAAATAGAAGGTACAAATTTATAAAAACAAGACCAGATACCAATCAAAAATAAAATAATACTTGAGAAAATTTGTAAAAGCAAAGATTGTTTCTTTGAAATGCTCATCAAAATGAAGTTATATTGTAGATAAGTTATACCCTGATGAATCCTTGTACCGCACTGTAGGAAAATCACTGGACCTTAAGGTTGGCTTGAACCAAAAGTTCGGCCATTCAATCCCACCAGATACTCTTACACAGGGTCACTATATGAGTGGGAACCGACTCGATGGAACTTAGCAACATTACTGGATGAACAGCCAACCTTTCTGCTGAAATCTACCTTGCCGTCCAGTGCTTCTCCTACAATGCTACACTAGTAACAGAGACGGTTATTGTTCAACTTGCTTAGGTTTTTTAAGTTTCATGCTTATTTACTCACCTTGTTGAATTTGGAGTAGACACCAAAGTATATGTATTGATAGAAAAATGTTCTTAGTTTCCACAAAGTTGTCTCCCAAAGGAAAATTAAGAAGAAAAACCCAAAACCTAGACTAGCCATTATAATCACATACTTTCCAATCATACCCTCTTTGAAAGAATAAACATTCTTCTCAAAATCTGTGGATGGCAAAAAATAGATAATTTTACTGCAGAATACTGACACCAGGAAGAAAGTCTTAGAAGACAACACAAAGTTAGAAATATTAGATACGATGGGATCTTAGGCTAAATTGAGACAAGTATTTAGAATGTAACAAGTGAATATCTTGTCACAAAAATACCATTTCAGCAATGAATATGAAGGCTGATCTTCATGAACAGAATAGTTGACACATGAATATTAATATATCTATTGATATCCAATCATTAGTGCATGCCATACAGACTACATCTTTCTGAGGGGTGAAAACTTAAATTTGCAAACTTGTTATATTCCTCTATTTACTTAGAACTTAAGTTCTAAGCCTCCATTTATTTATTTACTTACTTCTGTAGGTCTTCTTCATTTTTATTTAATGTGATTTTTTTTTTCAACATTTCCATTGGTTTAGAGGTATCACAGCTGTTAGCTGCACTGGTACTTTTTTTTTTTATGCTCTGCTATTATAAATGGCTTCACTTTTTGAAGTGTCATTTATTATTATTTTTCAAATGTCACTTATTTAAAGTGTCATTATTCATTTATGGAAGTGCCGAATATGTCAGTTGGTTTTCCTTTTTGTGTACTGAACTTGCTAAACTATTGGTATTAATTTCATAATTTACTTGTACATTGCTTTTTATTTTATGTACTAGTAATGTATGTTGTTGTTGTCAAGTGCCGTGGTGTCGGTTGCAACTCATAGCGACCCTCTGTAGGGTTTCCAAGGAGCAGCTGGTGAGCTTGAACCACCAACCTTGCAGTTCAAACGGCTTTGCAGTCTGCCACATTAACCCACAGTGCCACATCAGGACTCCAGTAATGTATACATTTATTTCTCTTTTTATTTACTGCCATGCCAAGGATACACAGTTGAATGCTGAATCAAAGTGGTGATTCGTTCAGAGTAAACATTATAATTTTTATATGTTCATATGTTTTAAGTGATTATTATAGAATTACTACCACTTTTTTGCCAGTTTATTGAACTATGATGGCTTTGCCACATGGCAGATTTCAAAGACAAACAGAGTCACCCGTGGTGGAAAGGTTTCAATGGAGTTTCCAGACTAAGACAATAAGGAAGGAGGACTGGCCGATATGCTTTAAAAAAATATTGGCTGGTGCGAACCTTACGAACAGCAGAAGAACAATGTCTAGTATAGAGAAGGAAGATGAGTGCCTCGGGTTGGAAGATACTCAAAATACAACTAGGGAAGAGCTGCCTCTTCAAAGTAGAGTCACCCCTCAACCTGATGGTTTGACATAGTGGCTCCAACAATGGGTTCAAGCCCAGCAATGATTGTCAGGATGATACTGGACCAGTGTTTGCTTCTGTTACATAAATGGTCAAAAGGAGTTGGAACTGATTTGACGACACCTAACAATAACATTTAGAAACTATCTCAATAATAGATTTGACACACTGAATACAAATAACCACAAATCAGATGAGTTTGGGGATGACATCAGACATGAAGAAATAAGAAGTACTTGAAAAGACAGAAGAGTTAAAAAACAAAAGACCAAAATAGATGTCAGAAAAGACTGAAATTTGCTCTTGTGTGCAGATTACCTGAAGTGAGCAGAAGAAATGACTCAGTAGAAGAAAGTAACAGAAGGTTTCTAAGGGCAGCTCAAGAAGACAAGGTAAAGTATAATGAAATGTGCAAAGATCTGGAGTTAAACGACCAAAAGGGAAGAACAAGATCGGCATTTCTCAAGCTGAAAGAACTGAAAATAAAAATTTAAGACTCTAGTTGTAATACTGAAGGATTCTATGAGCAAAAAACTAAATGATACTGAGAGCATCACAGTATACTGTGATACTACGGAAGGCACTGGCAAAAACTAAGCCTCCAGGAATTGACGGATTAGCAACTGAATGCTTCAACAAATAGATGCAACCCTGGAAGCACTTATTCATATGACAATCTTGAAAGAGATCCACATTTTCACCCATTGCAAAGAAAGATAGTCAAATGAGTTGGGAAAGTTATTGAACAATATTCATTAATACCACATACTAGCTACATTTTGCTGAAGATAATTAAGGAACAGCTGCAGCCATACATTGAATGTGGAATGAGGGGTATTGTTGCGGATGACGTCAGAAGGCTCTTGGCCAAGAACAGAAAATGCTTGCTGTTGTTGGTTGTTAAGTCATAGCAACCCAGCATAGGGTTTCTGAGGTTTTAAATCTTTGTGGAAGCAGAAAGTCTCATCTTTCTCCCAAGAGAATACTAGAAAGATGTTTATCTATGTTTTATCATCTATGAAAGAGCATTCTAATGTGTGGATCATAACAAATCATGAATAGAATGGGAATTCTATTCATCTTGAGAGATTTAACTGTGTTTACACTTCTGGCGTCTACCACATCCACCAGGAAACAGGTGGCGAGTGCCTGAGAATACACCAATATACAATCATGAATTAAGTATAAATATGACACTGCAATGTATGGGAATAAACACTTTAAGCTTACATAAAGAAAGAAGACATATACCTCAAACAAGTGACCAAAATTCAAATTCAGAAAATATAACAAGACATGGTATCGGAACAACATGATAAGGAAGTTAAAAGAATGCTAATTAGGCAACTTCAACAGATAGAAAGATTGAGAAAACTACAGATGAAATCAAGGAAAACATAGACAAATAGAAACAACCAAGAAACAAATGGACAAAATAACAGAAAAAACAGGAACCATATAAAATCAGCAATCAGAAAGCCAGAAGATTAGTACTAAGACTTCAGAAATAGATAATATACTGAAAGGACAAAGAAATAGAATTGGATCAATGGAAAGTCAACTTTCTGAGCTTGAAAAAAACTCTCAAAATAAACATTTGCTAGAACAACAATCAGAAAAAAGAACAACAACAACAACAAAAATTAAAAGAAAGCCTGAGATTTATATACGATATTATCAAGAGGAATAACTTATCTGTGATAGGAATTCCAGAACAGAGAGAGACATAAAGCCCATAAAGAATATTGAGAATATAAGAGTTTGGGGAGGAAAACTTCTGTAACATCATGAAACATGAGAATACAGCCATCCAAAAAGTTGAATGAACTCCAAATAGGACAGACCCCAAATGAAAAACACCAAGATATATCATAATTAAACTTTGCAAAACCAAAGACAAGGAAAGAATCCTGAGAGTAGCTCAGGAAAAATGAAAAATTACCCACAAAGGAGAACTAATGAGAGTTAAGCTTGGATTTCTCAGCAGAAACAATATAGACAAGAAGACAATGGACTTACATATATAAAACTCTGGGGGAGAAATTGCAAATATTTTTGCAAATATCCAGCAAACTGTCCATCAAGCCTGATGGTGAAATGAAGTCATTTTCAGACAAACAGAAATTAAAAGAATTTGTAAAAACCAGACCAATCTTACAAAAAATACAGAAGGGAGTTCTTTGGATAGAGAAACAACAGCAGACAACAACTTGAAACTAACATATATGACAATATCATCTAGACTCAACCTAGATATTGCTGTTGTTGTTAAGTGCCGTTAACTCAGTTCCTACTCATAGCGATCCTGTACAGGCTTTAAACCTTCAAGGGAGCAGAAAGCCTTATCTTTCTCCCTTGGAGAAGCTGATGGACTCAAACCATAGACTTTGTGGTTCACAGCCTAGGGCTCACTGTATAGAGCCACCACACTCCCTAACCTAGATATGTTGTTGTTGTTATATACATAGTGACCTTGCACAGGGTTTCCGATGCTGTAAATCTTTATGGGAGCAGAACGCCTCATCTTTTGCCCACGGAACCGCTGGTAGTTTCGAACTGCTGACCTTGAGGTTGGCAGCCCAACTCATAACCACTACGCTATCTAGATATAGAAGTATGCAAAGTAAAACAGACTTACAAGACTGAAAAAAGAGAACCAGAAATATAGATGCAACAATAACAAAAGCATAAAGAAAAAGATGGGAATTATCCAGTTACAGAACTCCCAACAATGCAGCGGAAATCAAACAGATTTCAAGAAAAATGAATTAAATAAATAAAAATAAATCTAACTGCAACCCTAAAAAAAGGAGCTCTGGTAGCATAGTGGTTACAAAGTCCCCACCCTAACTCTCACTCCTTCCTCTTACCTGCCTACCCCAAAATAAATAAATGAGCTGTTGTTGATGTTATGAGTCATCGACTTGGTCCCAATTATAGGGACCCTGTACAGGGTTCCAAGAAGCAGTTGGTGGGTTTGAACTTCCATCCTTGCAGGTTAGCAGTACTGTGCTTTTCTTACAGCACCACACCAGGACTCCAAAGAAATAGGTAAGTAAAATAAATAAATTAAAATAGGTAAGTAAAAGTAAAATGTTGTTGTTATATGCCCAGTAAAATAAATTAATTGAAATCTACACAACTAGACTCATTAACAACATCATAATAAATGATAAAGAAATTGAAGTTGTCAAGGATATCATTCTTTTTGGATCAACCATCAACACCCATAGAAACAGGCAATCAAGAAATAACAAGACAGACCGCACTGTGGGGAGTCCTGGGGTGGCGCTGTGGGTTAATGCACCAGACTGCAAAGCCGTTTAAACTGCAATCTCAGCGGTTCAAGCTCACCAGCTGCTCCTTGGAAACCCTATACAGGATCGCTATGGGTCGGAATCAACTCGACGGCACTTACCAACAACAACTGCACTGTGAGAAAATCTGCTGCAAAAAACCTCTGACCCAGAGCTATAGGCCAGGTGTGGCACATGGCCTGAGCATCACTTGAAGTGGGGGCACCACTGAACAATTTATGTTAACCATCACAGTTTACATCACCAGCAAATTAAAACTAAGACTTCCGTATCTGAGAGCGTCCTGGTAGGTTCAAACCTACCCGCCACTCCTCGGAAATCCTATACAGGGTTGCTATGAGACACTACCAACTTGACAGCACTTCACAACAACAGCATGGGTCAATGCAGACTGTTTAATTGCTCTGCTGAATGTAGAAAGCAAATAAATGGAAAATAATGACTTTGAACACATATTGGGCTAATTTTCATGCCTGAAAGCAAGGAAGGTGCAGTTGTAATTTTTTTGAGGGCCATCATGTGTTAAGTACAAGATTAACGAGCTTGACTTGTATTTTTGAGCTGATATAGGATGTTGTTGATTAGTTTTGATTCACAGTGACACTGTATAAGGTTTCTGAGAAGTACCTGGTTGATTTGAACCACCAGCCCTGCGGTCTAGTGCTTATCCTACAGTGCCACACCAGTACTCCAATATCAGGCTAAAGCTTTCTACAAGATGAGTATCAGATGTTTGGACAGGGACACAATCTCAGTGCTTGCTATAGGCATTATTTTCTGTAGCTACACCTCTAGCCTGGACACCTGGTATGGTGTTGCAGACCTCAAGGTTGGCAGTTCAAACCACCAGCTGTTTCTTGGAAACCCATACAGGGTTGCTATGAGTCAGAATCAATTCAATGCACTTAACAAGAACAACACCTCTAGCTGACCAAAGCTATGGTCTTTTCAATAGCACGTGAAAGCTGGACAGTGAAAAAGGAAGACAACAATTGATGAATTTGAACTGTGAATAATATTAAATGAACTGTGGCATGCTAGAAAATCCAACAAATCTGTCTTCAAGGAAGTATTCCCAGAATGCTCATTACAAGCAAGAGTGGTGAGACTTCCTCTCAGGACACATCCTCAGAGGTGACCAATTGTTGGAGGACACCATAGTTGGTAAAGCAGATAGAGGGCTTTACTTACAAATAAGGGAGACCCTCAGTGACTGCACAGTGACCTCAAAAGTGGGCCCAGACATAGCAACAATGATGAGGATGGCACTGAGAGGACAACATTTTATTTTATTGAACAGGACCTTCCTATGACTCAGAGCCGACCTGACAGATAGCACCTAACAACAATGTAATTGTTGTAGAAACCCTTTATCAATATATTATCTGTTGTTTACCTACATTGACAGGTGAAGGCATGATTATTTTATATTCTCGTTCTTCCCATATATAGTTATATTGCTTTTTAAATTTCTTCTCACAGTTCCCTTTAAAGACTATGCTTAAGCCTTTCATTGTAAGATGACTTAAATTACTTTTCACTTCCTGTTTTTTCAACCTCTTTGTAATCTTTAATTTTTGTTAGCTCTATTTTCACTTTACATTGTTAAGGTTGATAATAATATATATAAATTGGTGGCTAAAAGCCAGTCTTCTCTTTGTGTGGAAATAGATACCCAAAGTTGAAAAACAATATTTATTATTTTTAGTGTTGTGACCATGCAAATATTGGTCCATGCAGAACCATTTATGCCACCCCAAAATAAGTATTCTAACAGTTTCTTCCTTTGTTGTTGTTATTAAGTGCCGTGGAGTCAGTTTCGACTCATAGCAACGCTGTCTAGGGTTTCCGAGGAGCGGCTGGTGAGCTTGAATCACGGCTCTTGTAGTTCAAACGGACTTTGCTGTCCTGTGCATTAATCCACAGTGGCACACCAGGACTCCTTACACTGTAGCAATTACTCAAATGCACAGTGGCTCTGTAGGATAAGCACTGGACTGTCAACCACAGGGTTGGAAAGATGAGGCTTTCTGTGCTTGCAAAGATTTACAGCCTTGGAAACTGTCTAAAGGGTCACCATAAGTCAGAACTGACTCAACGACACTTAATACATTTCACTTCCTTAGGATTCTATCTTTCTTTATCAGTTACTACCTCCCAACTTGGCTAGACTTTCTGCTGCTTTCATTTCTAGCTCTTTCATCTGCATTGCTATTCTCCATCACCCATATCACTACTTCCTGTCTTTTTCCTATTTATCCAACCAACATTTGATGACTTCCTAGGTTCAAAGCATTCTGTTGACAGTGGAGAATGGATGATAACTTGTGGACCAGTGCGTGTGGTGTTGATTGAGTGTAGCTGTATTTACGAGAGTAATAAAAGTGAATGAAATATGACTACAATATAGATTCTCCCCCTAGAGATTCTTTCCTATGGCGAGAACTCATCATACAATGAAAGAAAACCATTTTTGATTTCCAATCTGACCCACACAATGTGTGCTACAGGGCACATGGTTTCCTAAGAATGAGCATGACAACACATAACTTGAAGAGATATTGTGAAGGTTTAAAATAATATAGTTCAAGCTACTATTTAAAGATGATTACTAGTAGCTGCTAGTCTGTATCTGATAGCTACTTTAAACTTACCTTGGATTTGCTTTTGAAACTTCATTGCATTTGCAGAGACTTAGCCCATCCTTGTAAAATGACCGAAAATATATCCTATTTTCTCCTTATCTTCCAGAGTTTGAGTCTAAGGCTAATTCCCAAATGATCTCAGGGTCTACAAGATACTTACTTTGTTTACAATTTATGTTTGGAGGAGGGTGTTTTAGGATATGGCACAATGTCTTCTCCCGGTAGACGTAAGAGTAATTCTCAAGAGCCTTCGCGAGGTTGTAATTGGGAAACAGCAGCAATGTATTTAGTATGAAGTTTCTGGTGCTATTTGAAATTTTCGATTCAAATGCTTAAAAAGATAACAAGTTTAGGTTTCATTATAGGAAATGAACCATTGGTTTTAATTATGGAAATGAACTATCCCCAGGACAACAAACCCCAAAAAAAGCACTAATTATTTTCCAATACGTTTGTTTCCATTAGAGTGACTTTGTTCTTATAGATAATTGCAGAGCTCTGAAAAGTTATGGTGACCTGGTTGTCCGTATAATATACCTTCCTGTTACCTGAAGTAAACAGGAAAATACACTGCCTGTTTTTCTCATTTCTAATCCTAATTGATCAACTAAGAGATCAAAGTAGAAGTAGTAGATTGTTGTTGTTAAGTGCCATCGAGTCGGTTCTGACCCATAGCAACCCTATATATTTCCAAGGAGTGGCTGGTGAGCTGGAATCACTGACCTTGCAGTTCAAACCAACTTTGCAGTCCAGTGCATTAACCCACAGTGCTCCAGATAAAAGTCTAATATCCCACAGTTGTTGTTGTTAAGTGCCGTCGAGTCACTGGTAGCGTAGTGGTTACAAATCGGGCTGTGAACCGCAAGGTCAGCAGTTTGAAACTACTAGCTGCTCCGCGGGAGAAAGATGAAGCTTTCTGCTCCCATAAAGATTTACAGCCTTGGAAACCTTGTACAGGGTCGCTGTGGGTCAGAACCGACTCGACGGCACTTAACAACAATATTCCACAGTAGGCTAACAGAAAATTCTGCTACTGTTGAGACTTTTTTAAAAAGCTAATAGGTAATTAAAATCTCTACAAAGAATAAATGGAATGTAAATAATAATTTATGACAGATTCCTAGAAATATAATTTATGAATTGTCATTATAGAATTTTTATATTAAGCTCATATTTTTATGAAGGGATAAAAAACTAGTCCAAGCAAATGGTTCTTATAAGACACTTTGATGAAAGAGATATGGGCAAAAGCCATGACAATTCTGTTCTGAGTAGATCTTAAGTTGACGTAGAGGTAATAGAAGAATGAAAAATTCAGTATATTGGCCACTGTGCCCCAAATGCTAACAACTAATTCTATAGATAAGTACTGTCCAGGCGAATTTTTCATGAGTATGCGCTGACCAACAGACACATGGAGTTATCGAGTCCTTGGAAATGTGGCCAAGGAATGGAATTGTTCATTTAATTGCAATTAAAATTAAATAGCCACATATGGCTGGGTAGTCGCTATTGTAATAGATGGCAACGCAGTCTAATATCTTTTAGATTCTCCTGTTGTTGTTGTTAGGTGCTGTCCAGTTGGTTCCGACTTATAGCAGTCTTATGCAGTCAGTCCCACTTTACCTAGCATCATGTCCTTCTCCAGGGACTGGTCCCTCCTGATAATGCCTGAAGTCTGACAGATGAAGTCTGGCTATCCTGGCTTCTGGCTGTACGTCTTCCAACACAGATTTCCTTCTTCTTTTAATATTAAAAGAACATGGTACTTTTAATATTCTCACTGTTGTTGTTGTTAGGTGCCGTTGAGTCAGCACCGACTCATAGCGACCTTATGCACAGCAGAACGAAACAATGTCTGA